AGAGAGAGAGAGACGTGAAGAGTGAGCTACAGGAGGTGCCTATACATGTGCGATACTGATGCCATTCTACTTCAAGGCCTTGAGCCTACGACTGTCCCAAGAGGAAAAGTCTACTGCTTTGCATCTACTGGCTCTACCTACAAACACTGGCCAAACCGCAGGACGTCGATTTTAACGTGGTAGCTGAGCTTCGGCTCCAGCTACATTAAACCACTGCGCACTCACCGCCAGCAGAGCAAGTATCGACAGACTACAGAGCATTGCTACAGCATCAGCACCCACTGCAACAGCAAACGGTGCCGCATCTATACAGACATGCAGATTTTGGGAGGCAGATGCATCGCTAGCGCCACCGACATACAATGGTGACTACACACAATGGGAAGAGTGGAGTCAACGTTTCAAGGCATACCTATGCCTGAAACCTATGCCTGAAGCCACGACTACGCCAAACTCATACAAGCAGCACCTATGCCTGAAGCCACGACTACGCCAAACTCGTACAAGCAGCAGAAGACGCGACAGCGGTACTTACAGACATGGGCTTAGCTTAGTGCCAATACAGATGAAAAGAAAGAGAAATGGCTACAGATGGCCAAGGATTCGCACTACATCCTCATCAGCATTTGTGCCGGATCAGCAGCTACAGTAGTTAGAAGAAATTCTGTAGGTGAACGTAATGGGTTCGAGACCTACAGAACCTGTACCAGAGGTTCTACACACCAGTTGGTGCAAGGAGCATTGGCTACTTAACCTCACTCTTCAAACCCAAGTTGATGAACAACGGCTTGAAGTAGCCTTCCTGCAATGGGAGTACGGGGTAGCACGCTACGAAAAAGACCATACCTCAGCGCAACCAGACTCAGTCAAGATTGCCATTATGTTGAATGAAACTACTGGCGCGCTACAGGAACATCCTCAACTCAGAGCAGGATCTATCACACGCTACAGTGAGATAAGAAACATCGTTGTGCAATACAACAGAGCTAACTGGACCATTGGAAACTACAACACAGGAAAGAACAAAGGGAAAGGCAAATCCAAGGCAAAAGGCAAAGGAAACGGCTACAAAGGAAAAGGCTACGGCAGCTACAAAGGCAAAGGAAAGGGCAACAAAGGAGACTACAAAGGAAAAGGAAAAGGCAAACCTAATCCCCACAGGAAAAGGCAAAGGATCTATATACAGGCAACGGATCAGGAAATGTATGCTACAAATGTGGCGGACCTGGACACTACGCTGGAGATTGCCGTGCCCAAATACACAACACCAGCCAAACAGATGACTACGGCCATGTCCAAGGAGATGATTGGTGGAATGGCTGCTACGATGAACGATGGCAGACCTCGGATCCCTACAACCGTGACAACCGCATTGGATCATCCTACAACAACTCACGGTTGGCACTACCCTCAACACAGCCAACTGCCAACACAACAACCGAGTCACAGCAACCAGTGATCACCTACCAAATTGGAACGGTGAAACCTGCAATCATGGGCATGTACCAGCAGGAAGGTGACCTACTATGCCCAAAAGCAAGCCATGGAACACTACCAGCAGGACAAGCATTGCCAACACAAGCATCCACAACAGCTACAGAAATTCCTCCCAAGAGTGGAATGGACTACATCATGGTGGACTCAGGAGCAGCTACGCATGTTTGTCCAACAGATTACGCTCTACAATTCCGTCTTGAGGAATGTGGTGCTAGTACACCACAAATCTACACGGTGACAGATGACCCTATCAAGGTCAACGGCATAAAGAAGATTCACTACAAGTGTAATGGCCAACACTTGGTGATACCTTTCTATGTGTGTGACGTGAAGTCACCGTGAAGTATCTCAGCTTGTCAGTGACCAGACTACTTGATAGAGGATACACTCTGAATCTGACACCGGACAGTCCGTCACTACATCGACATGACTTCAATGCAGGACTACTTCGATTCCAGATCTTTTCTACCTGGAAGCGGAACAACAACCTTTCGACTACTACTGCGTGAAGATCCAAGTGATCAAGGAGAATGGAGACTACGCAGCGTTGATTGCACCTACATCTCTCACCGCAACAGGCTACAACACGGATTTCTGGCAACTACGAGACAACTACGTTGTCAGAGTACACAGGAGGAAGAGAAGAGCAAAATTCACACAGGAGTCTGCAAACTGTCCAGTTCCTATCACAGAACTTGAATCATGGAGACAGACTACAGTTCGACGACCAGGACAAGCAGAACAACACTACACTGATGAGTACCCAAATGTTGAAGCGCGGAGATTTCGAGAGGTACTACCTGGAGAACACTGGACGGGAGAGACTACATTCAAAATCAAAGAGAGCTACTTGAACAAAGGCAAGACTACCCTAACAGTAGCTCCTCCACCAAACACCACCAGCAATGCAGCCTGTACTGAAACGAGCAGCCTACAAGAGAGAGAGAGAGAGAGAGCGGGGGAGAGAGAGAGAGAGAGAGAGCGCGAGGGAGAGAGAGACAGAGGGAGGGAGGGAGGGACGGAGGGATGGAGGATGGAGGGACGGAGGGACGGAGGGACGGAGGGACGGAGGGACGGAGAGAGCGAGCGAGCGGGGTGAAAGCCGGTGAAAGCCAGACTAGCAAGAACAATAGAGAATATATTGTATTTGGAGGATGGTCTGGAGTAAGTCAACCTAGGGTTCGGTTTCAGGCACACTGTCACAAGTCTGAAGGAGCACGACTGTGGCCAGATTGGCAGGACCTTCTCCATGCTGAGCGCTTGATATCTCTTGAAGCAAGGTTCAGGAAGATTTGGCAGTTTAAATGTTTTGAACTCTGCTTAGGTCAATCAAACTTTGCTTAGGTTGGACTTTGTAGGCCACCTGCCAGTGCAGCAGACCTCCAGTGCAGCTTGCAGGGCGGGGCGGCTGAAATATTGTCAGTTTTTGAGCTCCTTAGATACAGTTCGTCAAGCTTCTTCTTTGGATGCCACTGGGCAAGAGCCACACCGATCCTTGGGTGAGGCACATTGCGAAAAGTTTCCTGAAGCTGCTTACTTCAACTACTATGTGATCCTGCACGTGTTTCCACCATTGGTGGAGCTTGGCCCTCCAGGACCACTTCACACTTCTCCACGCTTTACCGCCAGGTACCTTTGAGCACTTGCCACTGCCCGCCATCGGATACCCTCTTTGAAAAGGCGCGCCTGTAACAGATCATCTTGCAGAAGCTGTCTAAAGCGTTTCTCAGGCCCTTGGGAAGGACTACATTGGTGGCAAGCTGGACTGCAAAGTGGAGTATGTGAAGAGGCAGGAGCATGACACATGAAGACCCGGCTCCTCATAGCCACTGGCTCACGTGAAAAGTTGCAACATCACTACCTGCTTGCGGTGCCTGACACCCCCCGGGGGGGGTCAAATTTGTAACTTACAATTTTGGATTTTAGGATGATAGCATTATATAGCCCTATAGGGGCGGGTGAAAATCGTTAGATCTAAGGTTGAGGTAGCCTATATGGGGATCTTACTTTTTGAACCTCCCCCCTCAAAGAGGTCTTGGCCTACGTCTTGAGACTTTGAAAGCAGGGGGCGGGGGGGGCTCAACATTGTAAGAATGGATGGGCAGGTACCCCACAGAGCAGGGTCAGGGGGCATGCATCCACCTGACCCTCAAAAATGACAGGCTCAACAAACACATGCGGGTCAAAAATATAACTTACAATTTTGACCCCTGTCTTGTCAGATGGAGGTATTTTAGACCTGTATGTTCAAAAATCACCGTTGTCCAAAACCTGCATTTTGACACACCCAAAATTGTAAGTTACATTTTTGAACCCCTCCCCCGGCAACTAAGGGAGTAGTGATGTTGCAACTCAATAGCCCAGAACTCCCTGAACGGACAGGATCGATTCCAACGTGCCGGAGGTTTCCTACACTGGAAATGTGGCAGTCTGAATCACTGCTGAAAAGTTGCGGTTCAAGGTTTTTTGCAGAAGCTCCATTCATTTCAGGCCACTAGCGGCTTCCTTCTCGTTGCTGGTGTTATGGTGCGAATCTGCGCTCGTTGACTCTTGCTACTCTATTTTTCTTGACTGCAGGAGTGTCAAGAATTCACCCCCTAGATGGATTTGCTGCGATCTGCAGGTTGCTGCCGCCTCCTCTTTGGCAGTGGTTGGGGGCCAACATCAGTTTCTTTTCAAAGCTTGCGTGCAGTTTTGTAGTTTACAGTTTAAACTAATGAGAAGACATGGAGACCTTTCTTGCGGTGAGCGCTTTGCCAAGGTTTTCTTCGGACATTATTGGAAACAGAGCCGGCAGCTGCGAAGGGAACACGAGCAGACTCCTAGGCGGAGCAGGAACATGATTGTCTTCGCGGGTTTCCCCTTCTTGTTCCCGCATTTTTGTTTCGAGCATTTGCGTGCTTACAGTGTCTTGGTTCTGCTTTGGACATGCGAGGCCTCTCCTTTTGCCACACGCTGTTTCAGAGGATTTGGAAGGCAGAGGGCTCAATGAAAATCAAGAAGGCCGGAGCGGCAGGAAGACCTGTTATAAGTTATAACTGCGAGGTGCAGAAGACTTGACAGAGTGAGGGGATTTTGTGCGAATTGACGGGAAGCTCGCTGCAAAGTTCGGCGTTTTCCGAGCCAGCTCTGATTTGGGAGATCCTGTTTCTGTGCATTTGTCATTTGAAGTGGAGATCGCCGAAACCCTGTCATGTACAACTATACAAAATATTTTATGTCAGTGCATACCGGAGTCTTCCAGCAATTGCTTGATCAAAGATATGTGGTGTACCCAAGCCGCTTGGACATAGACCAACTTTGTCGAGAGACTTTGATTCAATTGTCTTTGGATAAACTTTGATGCTGCTTTCACCACTTTACATGGCTAGCCGCTAGCCAGCCCAAGTTCAAACACCGTCACGCCTGCACAAAGTGCGGGCAATTTGATGGCTTGATGGGCTTGGGATACCCTACAACCATGTTCAAGTTCCCAGTTCTGACACATTGGGCCACAACATAGCAAAAGATGTTCCGAGCCTTTCGCCCTTTGCTTTACTGAGAGTGTCGCCAAAAGCTACAGCGCCCCTTCTCGGTGAAGCCGTTTAGTCAAATCCAAATCTGGATTTGTTCGTTTGTCCACATTTCTGTTTTTCTACACTTCTTCTGCAACAAGAAGAGGAGATGTTCGACCGGTGCGTGCAGTCTCATAACAAAATATTAAAGTAATTTGCGCCGAGCTGTCAGGTTTGACAAAATCGCAGTCGACTTTGAGTTCTGTTATATATATATATAAGTTGTCAGTTGTCCCACACACAAAAAAAAAGTCCAACTGAAAGCCTGGCCCAAGTCCATGACAATGTGGGCTTGCCTTGTGGCGATTGCCTGTCTGGGCCGTGCAGAGCCAGAACCTGAGACCACACGCCTTGCATCCTTTCTAGTCATTGGCGACTGGGGGTGGGACGAAGTTGCACATGGCAACATTCAGTCTCGACACTGCCAGAATCTGATTGCGGATCAGATGCATGCGACTTTTGCAGAGCTTGAGGATGTAAAGTTTGTGATCAATGTGGGCGACTCTTTCTATCCAACTGGTGTGACCAGTGAAGATGACGAGCAGTGGGGTTCCAAATGGCGGCAAGTATACTCGGCAGAGCTGCGGAGCGTTCCCTGGTACAGCGTCTATGGAAATCATGACATGTTAGCAGACAATGGCACCTGCTCCAATGATGAGCAGTATGCTGCGCAGATCAATTATGACATGAAGGATCTAGATCATTTCTTCATGCCTGGCTTCTCTTGGTTTATTGAGCACGAGGATTTGGATCTAGAGGTTTTGGCGTTGGACTTGAACGACCTGTGGGAGGAACACACTTGCCGCCACTCTCTTTGCAAAGAGGAGTGCGCAACAGTCATTGCGGAAAGGACAGACGCAGCATGGGAACTCTTTTACAGCAGGATGGAGATGAGCAATGCCTCCAACCTCTTGGTGTTTTCCCATTATCCCACGGACTATTTTTGGGCCTATCCAGATGTCATTGGCAACCTGTCTGGAGCGAAAAGGCCGGGAGGCCTTGAGAGACACGTGGAATACTTCGGAGGTCACCGGCACAACGTAGATCAGACATCGACGACCTCAATTGCTCCCAAGAACAACTGGCTTGTTGGAGGTGGTGGTGGTTGGTCATGTGATGGCAGGGAGCAAGGCTTTTTGGTCGGAGAGATATTTGATGATGGCAGTGTCGTGACTCGACCCGTGCTTGTCGATTACTGTGCTTGTTGTGGCTGCTGGTGGTGGTGGAGGCCATTCCCTTGATGCTAGCTGGCTTCACAGGTGCCCCCTTGTTTCGTGGGGGCTCGTGCATGCACGTCCTGGCTGCAGCAAAGTTGGAGCCAGGCTACTTGTGTCAGAAAGTGACATTTGCTTCCAGGTGCATCACGGTGTCAGGCAGCAAATTACTGTCGACTTAATGGCTTATCAATCCCCAGGTACTGCTGGAAGTTGCTTTTTCATTTGCCGAACCTTTCACCGTGAAAGAATTCACGCCTTCGTGGAAACTATTTTCTCTGGCGTCCGATGCACGAGAAATGCCATGGCAGCTCTCTAGAATCACAAGAGAAGACGCCAAAATGCATTCAAGAGCCTCCTGAATGTATTTCCATTGATTTCGACCGAGGATGTGCAGCCAAAAGTCGACCAGGCTTTTGTATTTTGTTTCCAAGTTGTCCCAAGGGGGTTGACTTGGATGACGGCAGTGATTGCCAAGGTCCTCATTCGTTGAACAGCTGTTTAGATTTTGTAGCCGGAATTGCTCGAGCAATGTAGTGAGAATTTTAGCCCACATGTGTACCTCAATCAATACCGATGGAGCTGCGATCTGAGATCTTGGGGCTGGGAGTGTGAATGACACGTCCAAGAAGTCCTTTCTTTGGAGGTGCTTTGCTTCAAACATGGCTGCTTCGCACAGGCATGCTGCCACTCATGATGAGCCGCAGCAGCCACCTGGACAACATACTGCAGCGCGTGATTTCATAAATTCAATAGTTTCTGAAGCTAAGGCTCAATGATGGGCTGTAATCTCAGTTTATCTTTTTTTAGTTTTCTTGGTGCTCATCAGTTGTTGTCCGACTGCGAAAGGCAGGCCCGGGGAGATTCAGACAGTTATCCCTATGCACCCACTCTTGTTGGCTCGAGTGACAAGATGTTCAGGTCGGACCAGGTGATCGACTCCAAACTCGGTGATGCATCGAGGTGCGCAACACCGTCAGACAAAGCACGCAAGCTGCTTTTTCTTGATGTGGAGGCCTATCGGCGCTAAACTCACAAAGTCAGAGGATCTCGAGAAGCAATCACCTTAAGCAGATTGGATTGGGAGCTCGAGGGTTGGAAGGTGAAGAGGGCAAACTGTACAGAGCATGCAGAGCTTTGTGACATCCATTCCATGAAATGGAGATGTGTCAAACTGAGGCCACAGGATCCTGAACTGTCACGTGCTCAGTTTAGTCGAAGTGAGTGATATGATGTGCTTCACCAGCCCCCAGGCCTATAGGAGCCCGCAACTCGAAGCTAAGCGAGCTCGAAGTGCAAGGATCTCAAAGGCTGAGAATTTTCTCTTCCAGGTAGAACATAGTAGACCTTTCTTCAAGCCTTGTTTCTCTCCTTCTTTCTTTGTTTCTAAGAGCGATGGCCTCCAACCTGCTAGCAGTAGCTTCTTGCTACTATTGGTGGCTTAGAATCGGCTTATACCGCATGTGCTGTATATGCATGTGCGTGGATGGGGTATTGGATGTGCATTACTGAGGCCAAAAGAGTCTGCGCTGTCACGCACTTGGTGGTTCTATGAGTAGCGTGAGCAAGTGAACTGGCTGGCTTTGCCAACGCATGGAGGCCTATAGGAGCAAGAACTGCAAAGCCCAGCGAGCTAGAAACGCAGCGATCCTAGTCCTGCGAATCCTTCTGAAAGTGTGCTGTTTGACACTCGGCTAAGTGAAAGGTGTAAGACTTTGAGAAATGCGAAGCGTGGCTCAGGCCTAGGCCTAATGAGTCTGAGGCGTCGTGGCCTTGGTGGTGTGGCAAGTGCATATGCGTAGTACAGCCCAGAAGTTGAAGTTTGGATCCAGACCATTTTACTGTTAAGGTCATTTGCAGCAGAGAAAGGCCAAGGTGGTCTTGATGGCATGTGGTTGAATCCACATCATCCAAGTAACGTAAGACGCAAGAGATAAAGTTGTGATAAGTTCAAAAAACTACCTGCTAGAGAGATGTTTCCACTGGAGACGTTCCATGCCAGAATCCCATCCGACAGGTGCTGGTCAGCCAGAGAGCTGGCGTCACTCCAAGTACTTTCCTGAGAGCGCGATTGATTCTGACAACGCACGAGGAAGTGAACCAGCGTTTCAAGCGTGTCAGTGACTCCAGCCAATGCCAGGCGTTTAGGTGGCTGGGTCGCGTCCTCATGTGCACAATTTTTGAAGTCTCAGATCTGAAAAGTCACTCCAAGGACAATCAAAGTACAACGACACTACGGCCAAAGTCGAGCTCACGAGGTCGACAACATTTTTCGTCAACTTGGGGATGTGTTTGTGAAGGAGCGCTTGGCATGCTTTGCAGGCAGAGGGCACAGTCGGAGTCGAGAGCGCAGAAAGGAGGACTATCTCGACTGAAGACTTCCTAAATGAATTGATTTTCACTTACTTGGGTGTATTCAGAAGATTGGACCGCATGTGAAGGAGCGCAAAGGGGATGGCGATGAGGGGCGCAAAGCAGTCCCTGAGCTACAGTCAAGAATCAAACCTACATTGCATTGATCCAGAAATGATTGGCATAAATGTAACGCACACACACACACACATATATATATATATATACAACTGAAAATTGAACCGACCTCTTCATCTGAGGGTCGCCGCTCTCCCAGACGCTCCCGATCTAGACGCTCCCGGTCCAGACGCTCCCGGTCTAGGCGCTCTCGCTCGCCAAGAGCTTAGAGCGGCATACAGTATATATATATATATTATATGTACATATTCATATATGGTCTCTCGATTCGCAGGTAAAAACGAACGAAACGACGTTTTTCATGTAGTGTTCTGGCTCTCAGCGTATGGCCACTACCAGCCTGGTCCACAATCCAGGCAGGTGTGACTGCGGGTGCTGTAGATCCTTTGAAAGGGTCTTCAAGCTCCTGTACCACACCGGTACAAGCCCGGAGCTGAGGGCGCAGGGTGAGGTGATCTTGGACAGGTGCTACTTGCAGCTGCTCGAGGTCTCTCCCCGGCCGAGCTCACAGGTGAGTGTTGAGGTGCCTGCTCCTGGCGAGTCGGGAGTGGGTGGGTCTCCTGGAAAATCGGGAGACGGTGAGGAGCCGGAGTTGCTCCTGGAGAGGCCAAGGCGGTGCTGCCACCACTGCCTAGGCCGGCAAAGCGGCTGAAGAAGGACGACCAGGACATCGAGAAGGACGTTCAACAGCCCGCTTCCGAGGAGGAGGAGGAGAAACAGTCGAGAGAAGAGAAGAGCGAGAGAAGTCCCTCAGCCCACGGAGAGAAGAAGAAGCACAAGAAGAGGAAGGAGTCGAAGAAGGAAAAGAAGTCTAAGCCAGTTGAGGCATCCCCAGCCCGAGGAGAGGAGAAGAGCCCAAGTCCAGGCGGTCTGGCACCCAAGTCATTGCCCAGACGCCCCATCCCTCGGGACCCAGAGGCGGCCGGGAGAGGGTCCGAGAGTGAGGAGCCGGAGCATTACAGTGAGGAAGAGGAGAGAAGCTTCGAGAGGCCGGGAGCCGCCTGTCCCGCCACCAGGGTGGACCAGGGCAGGAGTCGATCCTGGGCCGAGGCGAAGGAAGCCCCGAAAGTCTAAGGGGGCAAAGAAGAGAGAAAGGAACCGCGAGTACTGGCGGCGGATCAGGGCCAGCCAGGGCCAGCGGTAGGCATGGCTCCAAGGAGGAGGAGAGGAGCGGCGGGGGAGGGCGCCCGTCGCATGAGGAGACCTGCAGCTCTGATCGACAAGTGGAAAAACAGCAACGGGGTGAGTGTCGAGGACCTGGAGAACTGGGGGATGCTACGCCTCCAGGGAGAGTACTGGTCAGATGCCATCAACCTTGGGCGAGTACCAGGAGGTCAGGAGCAGTCGGGGAGACCGGGAGGTCTCCTTACGGGCGATGGGCACAACGAACGAGAACATGCTCAAGTATGTCAGCGGCCTCAGTACCAAGCAGGTCCGTGCACATCTCTGCGGACCGGCTTGCGACAGACAAGTGTGGGAAGATGGGTTGATTCATTGCTCGAAGGTATGCCAGCACCTCCCAGGCGACGTGCCTTGGGAGCGCAACTTGGAGGTCGCGCCGGTGGAGAAGGAGAGGGACGATTTAGAGAGAGTGAGGAAGGAAGCGGCCAGCCGAGGAAAAGGCGTGGGAGCAGTCAAGGAGAAGCCAAAGAAAGACAGGTCGAGTTCTCCTGGCACTTCGGGAGAATCCAAGATGAAGAAAAAGAAGAAGAAGAAAAAGAAGAAGGACAAGTTGAAGATCGAAGCCATCAAGCCGCCAATAGGAGGCTCCGACTGCTGGGCCGACCAGCGCACCACATTGCGGTGAACGTGTTGTGCAATGGACACAGAGTTAATAAACCCCATGGGTACTACTCTAGAGACCATCACGCAGTCTCGGTTGGCCAGATGAGGTGGGATCAGATGTTTTGGAACTAAACGGTTGAAGCCCAGGAAACGTTTCCATGACTTTGGCACGGCAATTAGGTAAAAGAAACACCTAATATCTTCACTGGATAGAAGAAGCACCTCGCCCTCCTCCAGTAGATAGCCGTTCATCCCCGCCAGAGCCGGGAGCGTGCTCACATCTCCCGCGAGACTTCGACACAAGGCGTTGACTGGGGTGAGGTTCATGATCAGGCGTTGTGTCTCCAGCTCTCCCTGAAATTCACCTTTGCCTACTGCAAAAAGTCCATTAAGAACAGGCTTGTTGTCCAGATGATATATATCGCCCAAGGCCATGATCTCGCACACTCCCTTGTTGACCAGTCCCTCAACCAAAAGCTCCCATTGACCATCCTGAACCATCATTTTTGGTGGCTTTACATACTGTCGTTCCTGCACGGGGATCAGGTACTCCTCGAAGTCTAACACGTAGTTGAGGGTCCCCAGACGACAAAATGACTCCAGGCTAAGAGATCCTACCCCATTAGGCAAAGACTCTCTAACTCCCGCCCAGCACAATTTCTGGGCAGTCCTGATCACCTCCCCTGAGTAATCAACGTTTCTCTGCTTGAAAAAAGAAGTGAAACAAAAATCTTTCTCTTCCTCCATCCACACCGGGTTTCGAAGCGCTAAGCGAACGACATTTTTCTCTGCGATCGCCCGCACGTAGGTATCTGATGGTCTGGTCATCGTACTGGAGAATGGCTCATCTGCCACATGCGGTGTAGGACTTCCGAATCCAGCCAAATGATTCAGGGCAGTGAACACCCCTGCAGCAGCATCGAAAGCCAGTGAGCGGGGAGTGACCTGCTCAAGATCCTCCTCCCAAATCTTCTTCAGCGGGAAAATTGGGTTGAGGCACCCGGCAAGTCTCTCCGTGTTGGAGCGCATTGTAACTTTGGAGTCCTTCCTCAACACGCTCACTGACTTCTTGATGACCTCATGCATAGTCAGACGGGGTGATTCGCCCTTACCAGCGTCCACCTCTTCATCCATTTTGAATTCTTTGATCTCAAGCTCCCTGCCACCAGGAGCTCGAGAAAGTTGTCCAGGAGCCTCATCCACTCCCGCTGTGCTGCCTTTCATAGATTCAGGAGTCTCCTCTACTCCCGTCCCCTTTTCACTCAGCCCTTTTTCTTGTTGTCCCCCTTGTCCTTCTTGCCCTTTTCTCTGTCCTTGTCCTTGCCTTCTCGATCGCCCTTGCCCTTCTCCTTGCTCTTGCCTTTGTCCCGAGCCTCGTAGGTCTTGCCCGTTGCCTTGGCCATCACCTTCTGCTCCTCGTAGGCGCTGCGTCCCGCCTGTTGCAGTTCGCTGCTGCTGGCCAATCCCGGTCCGTCGACCTGGATCAGCTCGAGCTGCTTGATCAGCCCGACGGCCATGCCCTTCGACAGGCTCTCTAGAGCCTTCAGCCGCTGGCTCATGATGTCCACCACTGCGGCCGTCCGGCCTTGAATCATGCAATCCAGACAAGCGCCCCAATGAGCTGCTTCTCGAAACACCACAGGACTCATCATCGTCGACAAGTGCTGTCTCACGTACTGGCTCACTATGGGGGTCAGCTGGTCCGGTGATGCATTCATACTGCCCAATTGCAAAAGCATTGTCCTTTGTATATCCTGCAGCAGCTGAGCCGTCAAGACACCTGGAAACCGATGCCACATCCTCTGTACTGCTGTTTGCTCTGCAAATAGCCCTGCGATGGCATCCTCCTGAACATCCATCGATGAGGAGCTGTCTGTGCTCCCCGAGGACGAGCTGTCGCTTTCCTTCTTGCTCTTTCCTCGCTTCGACAACCTCTTGGCCTTCTTCTTGAAGCGCCTCCTGATGCTTGCGTCGCTGTCCATGCCGGTCTTGCCAAAGATCTGTGACAGGGCGGTGAGGGAGAGCTCCGGAAAGACAAGGGAATGCCTAGTTGTTCTAGTATGTACAGGGTTTATCTTGACAACTTTGATACTCTGGAAAGGGTTGATGGGGCGCTTGCTGAGTCGATCAAGGGTACTGTTTCAGACCAGGTAGCCAACCTACGAGACTCATATGAGCAGCACGGTCTGCCTCGTCATCCCAAGAAAGCAGTTGAACGAACACTAAAAGGGGAGATGCAGGGTGCGCTCCTGGATGGGGAGTTGGGCTTTGCCATGCCCAAACCTGGGAAGGTAATACAGTACTGCAAGCTAGGTTGGGAACTTATTCATCAAGGGCAATCCACACTCAAGGAATTGCAGATTGTTTGCGGGGGCTTTGTCTATGTGGCTATGTTCCGTAGAGCGCTGCTTTGTTCCTTGAACGCGGTCTTTGAGCACATGCAGAAATTTGACGGGGAACCACCAGTCGTTCGCTTGAGCCTGCCGTATCAGGTGAAGGTCGAGATTGCACGATTCATCCTTCTCTGTCCCTTGGCGCAAATGGATTTCCGAGCGATGGTGGATGGGGAGGTCACCTGTTCCGACGCGTCGACCCTAGGAGGTGGGGTGTGCGCATCCCGGGGGTTGAGCGAGTATGGCAACGCAGCATTAAACTGCACGGCCAGGGGTGACCCCGCAGAGGAACATGACCTAGTGCAAGTGCTGTCGGTAGGGCTGTTTGACGGGATTGGCGCACTGCGGGTGGCGTGCGACGTCCTGGGACTCCCCATGGCCGGACATGTGAGCGTGGAGCAAAACCCCCAATGCCGTAGGGTGCTTTTTCCCCGAGACAGACTTTTTTGAGGATGTCACCACGTTTATGGGAGAGCAGGTTCGTCTCCTGGCCCTTAAGTATAGCAACGTGGGTTTGATCGTGGTGGGAGCTGGACCTCCCTGCCAGGGAGTTAGCGGACTCAACGCCGACAAGAAGGGGGCATTGAGAGATAAGAGAAGCTGCTTGTTCCAGGAGGTTCCCCGGATCACCGATTTGTTCAGGACTCACTTTCCATGGTCACAGGTGCATGAGTTGGTCGAAAATGTCGCGTCAATGTCGGGTATTGACAGGAGTCACATGAGCAAGAGGTTTGACAGACTGCCCTTTAGGATTGACGCCAAAGGGATTTCCCTGTGTTCCAGGCCGAGGCTGTATTGGGTGAGCTGGGAACTTCATGATGAAGAGGGAGCAAAGGTGACCGCTCCTGACATGTCACAGTGGGAGAACCATGGGCAGGTGCTCCTATCCGCAGTGGTAGAGAGTAAGCACTATTTGCACCCAGGATGGAGCCTTCGAGACCAAGCTTGTCTACCCACCTTCACGACGTCAAGGCCTCGGGGCCCCTGGGAAGAGGCCTGCGGGGTTGGAAGGGTGTCAGAAGCATGAGGTGAACAGGTGGGAGAGGGACATGTACAGGTTCCCTCCTTACCAATACAAGGACTGTAACATCCTATGGAGCAAACGTGGGGAGGGACGTCTCCCTGACTCTCAGGAGAGGGAGGTCTGTCTTGGATTCCCAGTAGGTTCACAAAAAACTGCGTTCCCAAACAAGAACAGCGTGGCAGCCAATATGAGGACCAGCGCCTTACACTACTGGGAAACAGTTGGAGCGTTGGAGTCGTTGCGTGGTTGATTAGCCAGTTGGTTAATCCCCTAGGACTAGGCAAGGTCACAGGAGTTCAACGCATTGTCGATGAACTAACGCCCGGAAGGAGTTCAAACTTTGCCAGTATGCTCATGAGGCCACCTTTGCGCGGGAGACAGCAGGCAGCTCCTGATTCGTCGCGTTCTTAGGATTAGGGTCCATGAAGGGTGAGGACATCATGGTGCAGAGCAGCAGTGACCCTGCCCCTAGGTATTTTCGACTACGTGCCAGCGTACCAGGTCGGTTATGGATGACGGGATGGCACTGGAAGCACTCGGGCGAACACATCAGTGCCCTGGAGATGCATGCCATCCTGACAGCAATAAAGTGGAGACTGTGGAGATGCAAGCGTGTTGGTGTTCGTTTTCTGCATCTAACGGACAGCCTGGTGTGCCTGCGCTCCTTGGCCAGAGGTCGAAGTTCAAGCAGAAAGTTAAGGCCCATCATCATGCAGCTCAACTCCTATCTTCTAGCCGGTGACCTTCACCCCGTATGGGGATACATCCACACATCCCAGAATCCGGCTGATCGACCCAGCCGGAGGCCAGTTCGAAAGAAATGGCTCAAGTAAGGAAAAGGTTTCTTGAAGGTCACACAAAGGAAGATAGGAAAAGGCAAAGGCAGGCACTTGGGCCACTCAGAGGTCTAACAGTCTCCGAAAAAACGCAACAACGGTACACACTGGCACGCTCAAAGTTCTATGACTTTCTCACACACACAATGCCCTTGAGCTTCCACATCGGCGGGACAGATTTGATCCTCTTCTGTCTGAATACATTGAGCATTTATGGTCCGAGGGAGAGGGCCGTGGGCTTGCCTCGGATACCGTCGCGGGTCTACAAGATTTGGACCCAAAGCTTCGGGGACAACTACCACAGACATGGAGGCTGTTGAAGACGTGGCAAGGGCTCCACCCCTCCCTGAGACCGCTTTTTTCGCTATGGTCGGCTGGAGCTTTTTTCATGGGCACGTAGGGTTCGGTATCTCCCTGCTGCTAGGATTTTACGGGATGCTTCGCACTGGCGAGCTCCTGGGTCTAAAAAGTAATGACATGAGCATGTCGGGACCCAAATCCGTAGCAGTGATCTCGCTAGGTCTAACAAAGTCGGGAAAGCGAGTAGGAGCTGCTGAATCTGTGACCATTACGGCTGGCCCAGCGTTGAAGTGGCTATGGCAATGGAAGGAGAAGAACAAACCCAAGACCTTTCTATGCCCCAAAGACCATGAATGGCGGCGTCTTTTTAAAGCCTGCCTGGATGCTTTGCAGCTCACATTGTTTGAATTTCGGCCCTATTCCCTCAGAAGAGGGGGGGCTACCTTTTGGTTTGGTAAGCACGGAAATTTAGACAAACTTTTAGTTGCTGGCAGATGGCAAGCGGCGAAGACCGCACGCGTATACATCAATGAAGGATTGGCAGTCCTTAACGAATTAAGACTTCCCAGTAAAGCTCTGCTTCCTTTCACTCGTGTGTTTCACAACCAAAATTCACTTCCACCAGCCCACTTGAGCAAGCGCGTGAGGCGCAGTAAAAGGGGGACGTGGAAAGAGGGGAAGGGGGGAGCTAGCTTTCTTTTTCTTTCACAGACTCCTTTTAATAAACGCTTAGCTCCAAGCTCCTGGTCTGGCAGGAGGCTTGGAGGA